TGCATGCCCCCCATCCCCTCCATCCCCATCCACATTCCTCCCCTTCCACCCCCGTTCCCTCAGGGAATGCAGCCTCACAAAGCCCGCTCTGTGCCCACCGCATGCCTTCCCCTCCTCTCCCAACCCCAAAACAAAATGTCCCCTGTCCCCAAATCCCACCCCCCGGGGGACTCAGCCGCCCTACAGCCCTCATCCCATTGGCCTCCCGTTGGCCCCACTCAATGCTGCTGGCCCTTAAACCCCACAGCCCGCCCTCCAGGCACCCTCTGACAGCACCAAGATGGCGCCGGGTGCCATCGGGGCTGGACGCCTCCTCCTCCTCCTCGCCGGGCTGCTGGCGGCGTTGGGTGAGCGGGGATGGCAGCAGGGATGGTTGTAGGGGGTGATAATAGGGGGGGGGAAGGCGGTGTGGGGGCAACGGGGTGGTCGTTGTTGAGGTCAGTTGGGTGGTGGAGGAGTGTAGGAGCGTGGGGAAGGGGGGTCTTGGAAATGTGGGGTCATGGGGATGGAGGGTCGTAGGGATGTAGGATTGCGGAGAGGGAAGGTCTTGGAGGTGTGGGATGGTGGGGATGTAGGGCCATGGAACTGTAGGAATCCTGGAGCTGTAGGATCACGGGGATGTGGGATGGTGACGGGGCTGCAGGGCTGTAGAACTGTAGGATGGTGGACCTGTAGGGTTGTGGAATCGTGGGATGGTAGAGTCACAAAAACGCGGAGCTGCAGAGAGGATTGTAGGACTGCGGGGCTGCGGGTCTGTAGGGACGTGGAATTGTAGGAGCACAGAAGCGCAGACTCATAGAAACACGGAGGGCTGCGATCAGAGCCGTGGGATCACGGGGTCACGGAATCGTAGCGCTGTAGGATCGTCGAATCATAGGGCCACAGGATCGAGGGATCGAGGGATCAGCCGCTCACAGAACACACAGAGCGGAAAACACCCACAGGGATCATCGGGGCCAACTGCTGCTCACCGCCGTGGGGCTGCGAGGAGACCCCAGCGCCACCCCACAGCCACCGTAACAAGGAGCCTCTGTCCCTGCCAACAAAAACCCCTTGGTGGCATTCGGGGACTTGGGCACGGCGTGGGGGCAAAGGGCAGCTGGTGTCCCTATGGGGCTGGTTATTGTTCCCATAGGGCTGGTGGGTGTCCCCGTGGGGCTGATGGCTTTGCCAGTGCCATGCTGGCGTCCCCATGGGGCACCGTGGCTCTACGGGTGCCATGTTGGTGTCCCCAGGGGACACTGTAGCTCTGCCACATGGTGTCCCCATGGAGCTGATTGATTTCCTGGTGCCACAACAGTGTCCCCATGGTGCTGATGGCTTTCCAGTGCCATGCTGACATCCCCATGGGGCACCTTGGCTCTACGGGTGCCATGTTGGCGTCCCCATAGGACACCGTGGCTCCATGGGTGCCGTGCTGTTGACCCGACGGCACCGATGGCTCTTCCAGTGCCACGTCGGTGTCCCCATGGGGCTGACAGCTCTCCCCCCCCCTCAGGGCCGTCCCCCACGTCGGCCATCCACGTCTACACCCCGCGGGAGGTGTACGGCACCGTGGGCTCCCACGTCACCCTGTCGTGCAGCTTCTGGTCCAGCGAATGGATCTCGGAGGACATCTCCATCACGTGGCACTTCCAGGCCGAGGGCAGCCGCGACAGCATCTCCGTGAGCACCGCGCCGCCTCCGCCCTCGGGCCCCCGTCGCCCCCCGCGCCGCCACCCACAGCGCCCCCCGTTCCTCTCCGCCCGCAGATCTTCCACTACGCCAAAGGCCAGCCCTACATCGACGACGTGGGCTCCTTCAAGGAGCGCATGGAGTGGGTGGGCAACCCGCGGCGCAAGGACGGATCCATCGTCATCCACAACCTGGACTACACCGACAACGGCACCTTCACCTGCGACGTCAAAAACCCTCCCGACATCGTGGGGAAATCCTCCCAGGTCACCCTGTATGTCTTAGAGAAAGGTACGGCCGTCCACGGCCCCACTGCCACCCCATATTGCTGTCCCCAGCCCCGTATCATTGTCCTCAACCCCATATCATCGCCCCCATCCCCATATCATCGTCCCCACACCCATATTGTCCCCACCCCCATATTCCTGTCCCCATCCCCATATTCCTGTCCCCACCCCCATATTGTCTCCACCCCATATCAT